TAAAAGCAGTTCTCCAAGATGGAGGTACTTCTGCACCCTGCAAAATACTGTTAAACAATTCCTTTAATGGTTCTAACATTTCATCAGATAACATCTTGTAATAAATTGCTGTTAATCCATCTGTGCCTGGGGCTTTACCAACTTTTAGCTGCTTAATTGCCCCTTTAATTTCATCAGAAGTTATTAAACAATTCATTTTCCCCTCTGACAATTCGATAATCTAGGAAAATGTGAATGTTGTAGGTAATTCTCTATTTCTGAAGACTTTATATTTTCAGAAGCATATAATTTTGAGTAAAAATCCAAAAAACTTCTTTTAATTAATTTTTGTTGATATGTCATTTTTCCTTTATAATCTATTTTTTCTATAATTCTTGATTTCTGCTTCTTCCAACCATCTACCAGGTTTATTTGCATTACAAAATGTATTATATTTCATATAACGCAAATTAATTGCAGTCTGATCTATGATCAACATATTGAATTGCTCCCTGAGCAAAGCTATAGAAACTTTTAAATTATTGTCCAGTGGATTCAAAATAAAGGCCTTTTCTTTTAATTTAATTTCCTCTTCTAACTGATTAGTTTTTGCATTTGTTTACGCCTATAAACATTATTCATATGAATCAGGGCACCTCTCATATATGCTTTACTTGCATCCCAAACCATTGAAATCGAGGTGTCTTTATACATATTCAATAAAAAAAATTCTTTCATTTGATCTTTACATTTTTGCACATTTCCCTCATATCTAAATAAATTTACATTTAATCTCCAAGTCCTTTTGCTCCCGTCTCCAACCCATAATTCCATCCATACCGGACTATGATCTGATAATGTTCTAGGAAAAATCTTAATATTCTTCACCCTAGAAAAGAAGTCATTTGTTAGTAAAAAAAAATCAATTCTAGAATGAGATTGATGTCTGTCCAAGAAAAAAGTAAAGTCTCTTTCTTCTATATTTCGTACTCTCCAAATGTCTCTTAATTCCAGATCATCCTTCAAATCAAAAAAAGTTTTAGGCAATATAGAATAACTTGAAGCTTTAAAGGAACCTTTCTTATCTTTACTAGAGTCTAACACTCCATTCCAATCCCCCATCATAATAACTGATTTGTAATCCAGTTGATTTATTTTTTGATGTATCAACTTATAAAACTGTTTCCGTTGTTGATTTGGACCATATAATCCAATAATAAGACATCTTCTTTCATTCAAGACTAGTTCAATAAACACATATCTACCATCCGGATCAGAATCTATCAATTTAGGCATAAAATCTTGTCTCACATAAATAACTACCCCGCATTTTTTCCATGGAGCAGATGCTATAAAATGTGTACCCAGCCGTAAATTAATCAAATACTTTTGATCCTTTGTAGAAATATGAGTTTCTTGCAAGCACACATCATCATTCTTGTGTTGTTTCAAATAATGAAAAATCTTCTTTCTTTTCTGTGGTGGTTGCTTTTTATACTATATATGATTTTCTTGGATTAAACTTGATTCCTTCTGTATGAAGAGCATAATATCTGTTTTTCTGTATGAAGAAAATAACTGATCTTGAACTATATATCACTGTGACCAACTAATTTTAAGACCTGGATGTTCATTTCTCCCTTCCTTAGCAGCAGTTTCCAATGCTTACTTTTATTTATAAAAATATTTCTGATGAAGAATGAAATTCTGCCCAACTATCAATTTTGTTCCTGTGTCTCTTCCTATTTAGAGCTCCTGGAAAATGTTTCAACAATGTTTTCAATTTTGGATCCAATCTGAATAGTAATAGCTAATCTAGACAGAATGAGATGATGACATAAATGGCAATTTATTAGATGACAATACTTACATTCATGACTGTATTCCATTCATCCTTGAAAATAAAGGGGGAAAATAAAATAGTTACTAGTATTGGTAATTTTGTCCTTTTCCAAACTGGAATACATTTCCCACAGTCAGTTGTTTATAATAATTATAATAATGGTCAAACAGTCTTTAGTGAAAAGAAGGTGTTGGGAAGGATGAGTATTTATTTACTTTCCCTTTAAACACTATTATTTATGTTACATTATAGGAAACATTTCTTTGGAGACATTCCTACATTGACTCTCTGAACCAATTATCATTCAATTCTGTCCTCATTTCTTACAAATATTGTACAGGTAATCTTTGACTTACAACAGTTCATTTAGTGACCATTAAAAGTTACAACACCACTGAAAAAAGTGACATGACTGTTTTTTACACTTATGACCATTGCAACATCCCAATGATCACATGATCAAAATGCAAACACTTGGCAACCAACTCATATTTATGATGGTCGCAGTGTCCCAGGGTCATGTGATCACCTTTTGTGACTTTCTGACAAGCAAAGTCAATGGGGAAGCCAGATTCACTTAACAATTGTGTTATCAATTTAAACAACTGCAGTGATTCACTTAACAACTGTGGCCAGAAAGGTTGTAAAATGAGACAAAATTCACTTAACTGTCTCACTTAGCAACAGAAATTGTGAGCTCAATTGTGGTCATAAGTCGAGGACTATCTGTACTAGAAAAGCACTAGCCACTCCCTCTAGTCTATACTCTTTCCCCTATTAATTTCATGTATAGAATGACTATCAAACTTGGCAACCCCCCTCTGTACTCTTAAATGTCTTTCATGGAACATAGCAGGTTGGGGGAGAAGGTGTGGTACTATAGAATTTACCAACTATATTCAGGCATTTGATGTGTTCTGCTTCAGGAGACTTGGGCATGTGATAAGATATCCCTTACAGGGTTTACGGCCATTTCCTTGGCCGCCATCAAACAATCAGCAACGGGAAGACCCAAGGGTGGCTTGGCTTGTTTGGTCTCTACCTCCTTAAAGGTGAAGACAATGGAGCTGTCCCCCTGTGGCTCTTTAGCCATGGCGCTCCTACTTAAGAGAGGATGCAGCAAATTGCTAGTGTTTAACGTCTACCTTCCTCCGACGGTGAGGCAAGCTGACATTAAAGCTCAATGGGATGAACTGGAGAACTATATTACTTGTATTGAAACTAAATTTCCAGGGCTATACACCTTTATAGGGGGCGATTTAATGCCCGACTGGGAGCCCAAGTTCCTCCATTGATTGAGGCTCTTTACTCCCAAGAAATCCTTCAGGCAATAGGTCATCAGATTTCAGCTAGACATTCTAAGGATGAACTAACAAATTTTGCTGGTATTCAGTTAGCACTTTTAGCATCCCAACGTGACAAGATAATCCTTAACGGGAGTACCCCAGGCGATCTAGTTGGTGAGTTTACTTTTAGTTCCTCACGTGGGAGTAGCATTATTGATTTTGTGCTGGTTTCTCAGTTACTAAGAAAGGCAGTCCATGCTTTCTATGTGGACTGCCGCACGGAGAGCGATCATTACCCCCTGGTTACAATTATTGGGCTTTCCTCAAATATACACTTATCTAAAGGCCCCCAGATATTGGATCCCTATGCGGCCTTCTATATAAAGAGGATCAAATGGTCTTCTAATACCAAAAGAAAGTTCCACTCCTTTTTATCATCTCTGGAATGTCTCAGCCTTTATAATCAGGTTCTAACAAGTAGTGGCTCAGAGACAATCTTGGCCTTTGAATCACTAATTAATAGTGTTCAAAGGGAGCTAGGAGCAGATTGTAGGCCAAGGGGTCCATATCACATAAGAAGCAATCCCTGGTTTGATAAAGAATGTCTGATGCTTAGGAACCAGATTAACCGGGTTTACTTGCTTTACCGTAACCGAGGGGACAAATGCCTACCAGAGGACTATTACTGCCTGAAGTGGGAGTATAAAGGGCTAATTGTTAAGAAAAAGAGGGCTAAAGAGAGAGAGAAGTGGGATTTACTTCTCTTCTCTATCCAGCAGAAGAATACCTGACTATTTTGGCAAATTGTTGCCAGCTCTCTCCCTGGTTACCAAGAACTCCCTCTCTGCTGTATTTCAACAGAGATTGGGAAAACCATTTTTTGTCAATTTTTCAGGCTTCAATAATTTCGACCGAGCTTGGATCACAACTGCCTCTTGCAATTCCTATATGGCAACCTGTGACTCATGCTGAAATCGCTGAGCTTATCTCAGAACTTAAGTCAGGCAAAGCCCCTGGCCCCGATGCTATATCCCCCATTTTGCTAAAATCTAATCATGAGTGGTGGATTCCTCTTCTGGCAACACTTTTCACCCATATTAATTCCTCTGGTAGGATTCCTATCTCTTGGAGTCTAGCAATTATTATTCCAGTTTTTAAATGAGGAAACAGGAACAACCCTGCCAATTATCGCCCTATAAGCCTGCTTTCCATCATTGGAAAATTGTATGCTAAATATCTTCAACGTAGACTCCTCATTTGGGTTGAGGAGTCTAACATTATTGGTGCAGAGCAGATTGGGTTTAAAGCGGGCTGTGCCACATTGGACCACTGTTTTGTTCTAGCACACCTGGTTGACAAATACGCTATTGCACCAGGTGGCAAACTTTTTACTGCTTTTATCGATTTAAAGGCAGCGTTTGATTCAGTCCCTAGGGAACTGTTGTGGTCAAAATTGCACAAAAGTTCTATTGACAGACGTCTTTTGTTCCTAATCAGATCTTGGTATAATCAGACCTCTAGCCAGGTTAGGTGCGGCTTGCAGGGAGAACTTTCAAATCCTATCCCGATTGAGAGCGGCGTTAGGCAGGGTTGTGTCCTGGCCCCTCTTTTGTTTAATTTATTTTTATCTGACCTGGCCTTTTACATTGAACGCATTGAATCTCATGCCCCAAAGTTGTTAAATACGAAGATTCCGCTTCTTCTTTATGCTGATGATGCGGTCCTTCTTTCACAATCAAAGCTCGGTCTAAAAAGATTACTTTCTGCATTTGGGTCCTACTGTGCTGAGAACCATTTGTCCATTAATTATGACAAATCCAAAGTATTGGTGTTCTCCAGAGCCCGGAAATCATACAACTGGGCTATCAATGGTAATGTTGTTAGGCAGGTTTTCCATTTTAAGTATTTAGGTATTCAATTTCAGAATACTGGTGCTTGGACTAAACATCGAACCCAGGTGCTGAATTCGGCCTCCTGTAGCCATCAGCAGATTATAAGATTCTTTTTTACCCAAGGAGGCCAGTTTATTCCCTCTGCTCTGCGTATATATAAAGCCAAAACCCTGGCCCAAACTCTTTATGGAATTCCCATATGGATACGAGGCTTCAAGGATTGTATTGAAAGAACCCAGGCTGCTTTTTTTTAGGAAACTTCTGCGTCTTCCTCCCTGTGTTGGATTTGCTTCGATCTACCTGGAACTGGGCATTCGTTCAGTCAAATGCATGGCGTGGATTAACACCTTCAAATGGTGGTTTCGGGTGCTTTTTTCGGCAGTCCCAGGTAGCTACCTCTCCCTGGTGTTTGCTGACTCTCATACCTCTCGTTGGGAGAATTGAGCTGACGAAGGAACTCCACTTGCTAGGTTTTACGGGGGATGCTCTGGGAGATTATGGTCTCAAGGATGCCCAGTTTAGGTAGTCCAATGGCTTGTGGACATAGATTTGCAATATTTAAGAGCCAGAGCCAACAAAACCTGCTCCCCTTTGATCTTCAGCCATTCTAATAATTATGGATTGAGGATGGCTTCATATTTCTATACTCTAACCATCCCCAAGTATAGAAGAGTTTTTTCCCTGGCCCGTTTCAATGTCTTGCCCTCAGCACTACTCGATGGGCGATTTAAGAGGCTCCTGTTTAGTGAGCGACTATGCCCCTGTGATAGGGCCGAAGTTGAAACTGTGGAGCATGTCTTATCATACTGCCCTATGTATAACACAGGCAGAATTAAATTATTGTCTCTCCTTGGAATTGATCCCTCTGGTTCTANTTTGGTTTTATATTGTCTAGGGGATGGCTCCTCCTATATTACTTCTCAGGTTTCTAAATTTCTTTTAAGAGCTGTAACTACCAGAGGAGAACGTTGTAATTCCCTTTAGCCAAGGCTTCTGGTGTTTAATTGTTTGTGATATATTTTTCTTGTGTTTTCTTTTGTTGCACTTGCATTTTGGTCTGTGACCGCAAAATAATAATAATAATAATAATAATAATAATAATAATAATAATAATAATAATAATAATAATAATAATAATAATAATATTATTATTATTATTATTATTATTATTATTATTATTATTATTCATGCCACTCCTCTAATTCTTTGCTAACTACACAACTGAAAAGAAAAAAGTTGTTTCTGTTCATCTACTCCCTTTGATTTGTTCTAGGCCCAGTAGCATTAATTTTTTTATTGGGTCAATTATCTTTTGAGCAGACCTAAGCTTTCCCCCCCTAAATATTGCTCTTTTATTTTAATTACTTCTCTTTCTAAATTATGGCAGCAAGCCTGCTACCTGGTGATAACCCTATTCTGATGAGCATTTTTGCCTTCTTGCATCACCATCTCCTGCATCCAATTTGCCTACATTTTAGGCAAACATATTTGATTTATAGATCCATCTTTCTCCTTCAGCAAATACTCAAAGAAAGTAATACAATATAAAATCCATAGAAAACCCTTCAACACACAAAATACTTCTGTTAGAATCGCCAGCAAAGCAAAGTAGGTATGTTTGCAGATGTACACATACAAACACAACTTAAGAAAGCGTTGTGAAGCATTGCTTCCAGTTGCTTTGCATGGCCTAGTGTTGGTAATAATTACAGATTTAGTACAAGCCTCTTTGTACTGATTAGTACCAGAGAGTGATTAATCTTCCCAACACACCTTGGCAATAAATTTAATCTATTGTATACCTGGGAGTGCCTGGTGGGAAGAAAACCCCATTTACTGTCTAGGGCAGTGATTTTCAATCTTTTTTTCACCATGGACCCCTTTAAATATCTTTTGTGGCCACAAACCATGGCCACTGACCCACAAGACTTAAGATTTAAATCATAATATTTCTTCAAGCCTTCACAGACCCCCTCTGATGACATTGCCCCCCCCCCCCGGGGATCTGCGGACCATAGGTTGAGAACCACTGAAGGGACAATAAGAGTCCCTTCATCCAATTATTTCTGGGATTTTTATCCTGTCTGTATGGGTATGTATGAAACCATGAAACCATTCCTATATTCTTTAAATCAGTGACAATCTGGCAATCTTTTCAAAATTTGAAATATTTGTTTTCCAATAGATGTCATTTTCTAGCCCAAAAATTGACATTAGTGTGGCAAGGGAATTTTCATTTTTTTTGGCTCTTACCTTTATTTGGAACTCAAAACATTCCCTTTCCACTTTACGAGAGCTTGGAGGAGGTTCCCATTGGATTCTATAATATAATGGTGATTTATAATCCACAGTAATATTTTGGGGAGGTCGAAGCTGTTCTGGAATGAAATAACCAGCATTATAAGTAACAATTGAAGACTTAGGAAATCATGTATATATGCACAGATATAAGCAATGAAATACTTTAAGAAGAGAAGAGATAAACAAAATGAGCACACTCTCTTTAGCCCAAATTTGATAGGTATATTTGGTTTTCTTTTTTTAGTTCTTTCAGCCTCTAGAAGATCAATGAAAATTAATATTTAAAAATGAAAGCCTTGTTACTTCTTACTTATTGCAAGTCAGAAGATGAATTACCATGTATGTTTTCTTCATAAAAGGATGCAAAACTATTTTTTAAAATGAAATGTTGGACCCTTACAGAAGGAATAATTCTGGGCATATCATATCTGGCCATCTTCATATTTCAATATATCTAGTATAAAATGCTTCTATTATTATTAGTTATAAACATTCTCCCTTTTTTTCTCACCTTTTTTATAAAGTCGGAAATCATCAACATACGATTGAATTGGAGATTTTGTGCTTGATCCATTTACTGTAATATTCACACGATATTTATTTACTATCACATCAGGGAAGTAGCAACCAATGTGTCTTCTACGCATGTTACTTATGTAATGTGGACACTCGTTATCTGTAGCCCTGTTTATACCAAAATAATTTTATTTAAGAACCAATCAAACACAATATACTTTCAAGAATATTTTTTTAGTTTATTAAATAAAAATGCATTACTTGTGGTAAGCTAAGTACATAAAATACTGGGTGTCTGGAGGAGCATTTGTGCCAGCATTCCAAGTACAATTCATAGTAGGATTCTTAAATGTATATGAGCGAACAATACAGGAAAAGTTTTCAACAGATGTTCCATTCATACCTAGAAATAGGTAAAAATTGAGAAGTTAAATATTCAAGACAATGTTTTATCTTATATATAAGGATCAATATAAGCTTCAAGCCATGGTTGGCTTACCAATTACACAAGAGACAAAAAGCCAGAGTTATATCAAAAGTTTTGGTCAAGGGTCGTGAGGTATATCAACAAGAATTGATTAAAAAAGCATTTACAGAATTCTACTCACATTTATATTCTTCAGGGACCATAAAAATTGAGGATATTGATAAATATTTACAATCTTCATCTATATATAAACTTACATTAGACCAACAGAAACTTATG